AGAGAGAGAGAGAGAGAGAGAGAGAGAGAGAGAGAGAGAGATACTGAAGATTGAACACAAGGCTCTGTGCATGGCATGCAAATGTTCTACCTCTGACCCACACCCCCAGCCCTTTTTATTTTTTATCTTGAGAGGGTCTATAAACTGCCTAGGCTGGCCTTGAATTTGTGATCCTACTACCTCAGCCTCCTGAGTAGCTGGGATTATGGATGTGCAGCCTGACCCCAGACAACAAGGTTTAGCTGAGTCCTGCCAGTGACTGACTAGAAAAGACTGGTTTTTATAATTCCTTTCTTACATAATGCCAATTGCTTTTCCGGAATACATGAAATAAGTTGAGAACAGGCAGATTATATTTAGAAGTCTAATATTAGAGTCTCTCGTGATTTTTCGATGGTGACATCATGGCAGCCAACACTCAATTGTTATCAAATGTCTTCAGATATTCAGACACAAAGTAGCCAAGATTGTTGTTGTTTGGATGTTGTTATTAAATGTGGAGGGAGAGTCAGACGATTGACACAGAACATGGTCCCCCTGAGGCAGCTCTCAGCATGGCCCTGGTTACTGCCTCTATTCTCACTAGTCCTCTGCCATAGGTATTTTGGGCAAAATAATGGAGACAAGTAATGATGTTCCAGTCTAAACAAAAGTTACATGCCCCTGAAAAGTACTTTTCTTACTTTGTCTAAAAGAATTCATTTGTAATCACTTTTTGACCTAAGTTTGGAAAGGAAACAATCTGAGGAATTATTCAATTTTCTCACTTGCTTAAGAAATGTTTTGCTTTTATTCCACAATGTTATTATAAAAGTTATCAGTTCTGCTGACATGATTGATACTAGAGAGCAAACCAAAGTCGCCCAGAAAGAAAAGTTTTACAATGGTTTCAGGAACAGCATACATACATTTTAAAAGAGATCTAAACTATTAGCTAATTTTGATGTCTTCATTTCTTCAAATGTAAACAGAACTTTTAGAGTGTATTACACCATTTTGGCTCTAAGTTACTATAGTATTTTTTCACCTGAAAACTATTTTACATGTAAAATCTTCTGTTCTCTAAACAAAAGGGAGTTCAAGAAATGTTGGATGAGCAAACAAGCAGATACTATTTCCAATTGGTTCTTAACCTTGAAGGCAGGGACCACATCCACCCTATAAGTTTAGGTACAATGTTAGTCACGTATAGTTTCTTCCCCCAGGAATCAATCATTTGAAGGACAATGAAACATGGAAGGAAGAAGAATGGAAGGTCTCACAGATCTATCCTAGCAGGAGGATCCTATGAGTGTTAGGGATCCTATGAGTGGTGAGGAAGAAAGCTCAGTTCCCCCAAGTTCTGCTGGACTAGAAGTAGAAGCCCAGACTATGGCATGTGTTAGAGACAGTGGTGTATTTAAAGCAGAAACTCAGAAGCCCAAGGAATGTTCTTTGCTTTCAGTCTGTTTCCTCATTTGTAAAATGAGGTATGCGATGCTGCCTGAGAAATAAAGAAAATGGCACAGCACCTTGCAGATGGTGCTATGATGTTGCATAATTATACCCTGTGCTTTCAAAAATAGAGTACCTTTGCATAGCTGCCTTAAACAATGACAGAGACCTAGGACTATGAAGGACAGCAACAAATTGGAAATGAAAACAGATCATAAACTCTTGAGGGGAAGTTAGAAATGTTAAAAGTGTTTACTATTTGAGCTGATAAATATCTTCTTCAATTAGAAACTTTGATTTTAAGCTCAGAGTTACAGAAGACAGGCCCACAGTGTGGGTCAATGGTGCGCTAACAAGAATTCTTGATGAATATGGGCCACCTTCTTTATCGTAAAGAATTCTTCTTCCTTTCCTTTTCTCGCCATCTCACTGTATTCTTTGAGTATCTTCTATGGGCCAACCATTCTGGAGATTCTGAGGATGTAATGGAAAGCAGACTAGACTTAAGCCCTTCCTCAACGCATGCATAATTTGATTCTTAGCATCCTTTCATAGATGCAGTGAAGAGAGACTAAGACTTTAATACACATAAATCAAGCCCTTACACATACAGATAAGAACTCTGAAGAACTGGGCATGGTGGCCCATGCCTGTAATCCCAGTGACTCAGAAGGCTGAGGCAGGAGAATCAAAATTTCAAGGCCAATCTCAGCAATTTAGAGGCCCTAAATTAGAGAGAAAAAAAAATTAAAAAGGTTAGGGATGGAGATCAGTGGTTAAGTGTCCCCTGAGACCAAAAGAGTTAAAGGACTTGATCAAGATTTTGGAGCTACCCATGAGAGGGGAGAGGAAGCAAAGGCTTCCTACCGTCCTTTTAGCAGTCTTCTGCCATATTGACAAAAATGGAAGATATTCCACTCACCCGCTTTGTACATTAAAAATGTTAAAACCTTTTTTCCCAACTAAAATAAAAATACTTCATTGCACCTGGTTAAGAGAAAGTGCTCTAGAACACAGGAAAAATGGGCAAGGAAAAACCATATCTCTGGAAAAGAACAAGAGAGACCAACAAAGAGGCATATGGGCAGACCTCTTAACATTCACTCTTTGCCAAATTGCTTTCATGTACCTTATTTCATTCAATTTTCCTAGCCAAATAAGAAAACTACTTTCGCTGGGTTTGGTGGTGCATGCCTGTAATCCCAGACACTTGGAAAGCTAAGACAGGAGGATTGCAAGTTCAAAGCCAGCCTAAGCAATTTTGCTAGGCCCTAAGCAACTTAGCAAGGCCCTGTCTCAAAATAAAAAATAATAATAATAATAAAAAAGGCTGGAGATGTGGCTCAGTGGTTAAGTGCCCCTGAGTTCAATCCTTGGTACCAAAAAACAAACAAACAAAAACAAAAGGCAAACAAAACTACTTCATTATCTTCATTTACAGACAGGAAAATAAGGCTCAAAGAAATATGCCACAGTAAATGCCTGGAATTTCCACCCAAGCAGTTCTTAGCCATTCCATTCCTTTACCTCCCAGATGGAATCTGATAGGAAAAAGACGAAATCAAAAAGGGATTAAAGAAATAGGAAACGTGATGGAGAAGGAAGACAAACCAGGAGAAGACAAAGGAAGAATTACTTTTTGCCACTGCCAAGGCTGTATCCTTATGTCTCCTCCGTACTGTCCAGTAGGGTTACACCTCAGACACTTAATTATACTCAAGAGTGAACAACTTCCCCTATCTGCAGGACACCAAAATGCCTAGGATCCTCCTTCACCCCTATTGAAAATTAACTTTTCTGACTTAAAAGCCTTCATTTTTTTTGGCAATCCTTGCCTCTTGTTCTAATTTCCACTTAAAAGGTCACATTCTCCTTTTATACTCAAGTTGATCAAAGTCTTCAGCTCATTTAGACAAATGCAGGCACTC